CAAGACTTTTCATTACTAAAATAAGAATTAGAGTGAGTTATCGGAGTATTGACCATCTTTGCTTTTTAAAATCTTATAAAAGTTTGCAATATTTTGTATTATATTTTATTTAAAAAACGAAAATTACCTTCTAAATTAGAAGTTCATTTTTTTAATTTTTAACTCAATTCAAAACTTTTTTTTTGTTGTTGTTGTATGCAGTTTCCAGCAAACTTTAATTAATTTTTTTCTATTTGTGAAAATTTCTACGTTATTTAAAGGTAATTTTTATTATAGGCCTATAGACCTAACACAGCATTATTAATATGATTTTGGAGGTTACAGAACTTTAAAATTACTTTAAAAAATGGAAAATAATTATATCATTTGATTTCAAGATATTTTGTATACCTTAAAAATAATTAATTCTATCCCGGGATTTCCCTGGATCCCGGGAAACAGTTCACTTTTATCCCGGGATCCCGGGACAAGCAAAATACCGGGAAATGAGAACCCTAATTGGTATAGATTCAACCAATCCCGTCGTGACATGAGTTGGCGATGACGTTTTACCGAATTATACGAGTTTTTTTAGCGTGTTTATACGAATACTGTCGCAATTTTTTCGCCGTCATATAGGAATCTGAACTATATAAACCCGTTTTATAGAGGTGTCTACTGTAATTTCATTTCATATTCATGAATGTAATTTGGGTTTGCCCCATAGGGCGTATTCAAATTCTCAGCGAGTAGCCAGCAACTCAGCACTTCTGTTCAAAATCTCAGAAAATCGTCGGGTTGCTGCCAACGTGCTTCCAGCAAACTACAAGCATTTTTTTCGATTCTCGTTACACCAGCAAACAATATGGCAGTCACCTTGAAGCTCGTAAGAGCACCATTTTGCGTCGACAATTTCGAATTTAATTTCTTTGTGGTAATTGTTTATAAGCCACCCACCAATGTTTTCTCTATTAATTATACAGTAGAGAGTCGTTTATCCGAATCAATTGGGGACTGGGGTTGTTAGGATAACCGATTATACACGAAAAAATATATTAAGCTAACCCGTGTTGAAATTTTTCTCCGTTGCGTGTCGCTTCGCGTTGAATTTTCTTCGATGTTAAGCCTAACGTATACTTTTTAAAATAACAATCGTGGCTATCGTATCGTTAAAAATTATTTTTTTATTTTGTACAAACGAAATAAATATATTGAAAAATATAAAAACCAAAAAATATATACTTTAGAAGATGATCTAGTATCAAAAACGTTCGATTCAGCACGACACACAGTCCTCAGAAACTTCGCGTTTCTTTATGCAGAGCTCGAGAAGCGCTTTACAGCGAACACACTGAGACTGGATTCTAATTGGCCAACACTGCTCGTGACGTCATTTCGCTACACTCTCGCTGCATAAAGAAACGCGGTCAAAACACCACACAAATGTGCCAGTGCTGCCAACTAAAAAACACACACCAACGAAAAAAATATTGGGGTAGCCCAAGATATAGCCAAAGATTGCAGCGCCACAGCACTAGCGAAAATTTAAATTTGCTGACTGGAATGCTTTCGGATAACAGACTTTCGGATAAACGACGCTCTACTGTATTTACAATAGAGACATATATAGTAGACATGTCCAAAACACATAGAATATTTGGTGTATGACTTAAACGTTTGCCGATTTAATTATTTAAAACTCCTGCGGAAATTTCAAAAATCTTCATTCCCATTTTTCTTTTCGAAATATTTATTTTTTATTAAGCTGTTCTCATTAAGTAAGTTCAAAAATAAGTTTAACGCAGCGTTGAAGTCCACATCGTTCGCCATTTTTCTAGTTTTTCTCTTCCAGAATTCCCAGCAGTCAGTGTTTGTGTTCTCTAGAAAACGCCAGCAGTTGCGTCACTTCCGGCAACATCTCACTGATTGATGTTGAGATTTTGAATACGCCCTACGTAAATTCTCCAATCCTTTCGTCTTTTGCTTTCCAGTTGACTGTCCGTTTACCTCGGTTCCTTCGGAATTGCAGCCGAATACATCATAAAACAATTTTAATAGTAAAGTAAATATCAAGTAAATAAATCACAAAACAATTATTTGATACACATATTATTTTACCATTTATTAGCATTTATTAAAGATAAAATTATATTGGAGATGGGCATGCTCGTTTATTTTTAAATAAAGAAAAATCGTTGCTAAATATTTGAGACTGCAGGACAAGGGGCATCTTTAACGTTTTTCGGAGTTGAACGCCATTTTGATTTTATAATCATTAATGCTGAAAATGCCGCTTCCCATAAATGCGTAGGTACAGTACAAAAGTTTTTACTATTGCCAAATTTTTCTCTGCCACCTTTTCACAGTTTGAGAGCCCTTCTATAGATGTATATACATATAAAATATAAATATCTGTAAAACATGAATAATTTAAAGACGTACGGGACCTGGGTTCGAATCTGGACGGGTCGATAAATCCCAGGAATTTTTCGGGGGTGGACCGTCCGAATATGTCGGGCCCCGTCCCTCTCCACTCGGCAGCCCCATTGTGGGCCTGGCCGAACTTATAATGGGCTTGCAAAAACAGGCCCTCTTAGTGCCCACAGGGCGAAAAGAGTTTAAAAAGAAAAATTTAATGACGTCCCCGTTACCGAAAACACTAAGAAAAAAGTCAGTACACGATACCGTTCATTAAATTCTTAATTTCGAATTAATTTGTAAAAAGTATAAAACATCCCTGAAAGATTTCAATTGAAAATTATTGTGAATTCATTAATCTAGATTTAAAACGATACTGATAAAGAATATTCATTTAAAATCGAAGGAAGTGTGTTTTTAGTAATAATGAGAGGATAATAAATAAATTAAAAGAGTTTTATTCATGAAAAAAAATTTCCATTTTTGATTTACTTATCAGCTGTTTGACGTATATAATGACGTCATTGATGTCACAGTTTCTGATTAAGTAATAACATTCAAAGGTTTAAAAAAATCCCTACAAAATTAATTTGATATTTTTATACGAATTTAAAATTAAATTCATTATATAATAAATATTAAAATTTATCATATTTATTATAATTACGTATTTTTGTAACGAATAAATATTTAATTTTTATATTTCGGAAAGCATTTCTGTAAAAATTTCCCCATCGAAAGGGAAAATTCCTCACTTTCATGAATATTACACTGAAATGTTGATGCAATTTCCTTCTTTACAGATTCTGATTCAGAATCGAATGGTTGGCCTCATTTTGTCTTGAAACGGAGTTTATTATTGAAAATATATATTTATATAGAGTTTCATATAAGTTTTAGGATTGTATAGATATTTAAATACTGTTAAGAATATTTGTAAATTAATTAGAAATAAAATATTATGAAGATTTGGACTTCAGAACATACTTTCAAGTAAGTTAAGTGTGGGGAAATTCCGTATTGAAATGTTATTGCTTTATATATATAATTATTATGAATATTTTATTATATTATAGACCATAGTAAAGAGACTTTTACCAAAATCTCTTCTAATGTTTCATGAATTATCAGTAAGGTTGAACACACATTTACAATGAATTTGTGGATAAAGGAGTATTACAATTCTTTCAAAATATTCCAAATAAAATGAATAATCAATAATGTTTGATAATAATAATAATTATGTTGAAAGGTTTAAACTGTGTTTATATTGTAAATGCATCAGTTGACATTATGCCAAATTTACAGTTGAATTAGAAGTTGTTTTATACTTTTTTTTTTCTGGCTGTTTTCTTATATAATTCTGTGTAAATGGTGGTGTGTATTCAATTATTTCCATTTTATTAAAACTGAACTAGACTTTCCTAATTTGAAATATTTATTTCTTGAATCTTAACATTTTAATCTATATTATTATACAAATCTAAGTAGAAGTACTCTTGGGTAATCTATATATACATGTATACGGTACGTGTGCAAATTACCTAAAGTGACTTCTACCTAATCTATAATATGTTATTGCGATTGATTATCTGTAGTGACAATTCTAAGAATAAAGGTTGAATTAAACTGGAGATTCAACTTTTTAAAAATCCAATTGAAATGCTAATAATTGGTTTTGAATTATATTCATAAAATGAGATGAGTCTTCTTTTGTCCTTTTACCTCCTTTTCTCATGCTGAAGGAAATAATAATATTCTTATGGTAAAGTCTATCTTGTCTGACCCAAAATATACAATCTTCCCTCTGGTGATGGTACAAGTAAAAAAAACAAAAAATAACATTTTGTGTATTGAGATGGATGAGATGCCTGTAAATAAACATCAACTCTGCCAAAACACTGTTATATCCTGAGGTGTAAGAAAAGTACAAAAGAAAACTTGACTCTTTCATTGTATAGTCTTTTATTTTGTAAATTTACATTTACTGTCCTAGACATTTTATCAGATATAGTGTTATATTGTTTAGTTTATTAACAACCAAAAAACTTTTTTAAAAGAGAAAGACATCATTGTATGGTTAAAGTCCAGATATGTAGACTGTCATGGCGGCTCATTTCTGATTCCAGCAAACAAAAGAAAGGAAACAGTGGGGACGCACGTTCTAACCTAACCTAACCTATTCTAATAAATTACCATAATTATTACCAATCAAATTATTAGAATAGGTTACGTTAGGTTAGAACGTGCATTCCCACTGTTTGCTGGAATCAGACATGAGCCACCATGACAGTCTACGTATCTGGACTTTAACACATTGTATTTGTAGGCATATGAAATATATTTTTATTAAAAATATGGCTAATGAAATCATTTTACATCTCTCTAAAAGCTATTGCAGTGGTTCTCAAACTTTTTTGATTCTCGGTGCCCTTGCTAAATCCAGATTTTCCAAAGGCACCCTATGTCAAATTCTAATAAGTACAATTTGCGAAATAACCAATATTTTTTAAATTAAGAAGATTATAAAAATTTTAATACATTTTGTGATGCCCCTTAAGAAAGCCACAGCACACACTGTGGGAACTGCTGAGCTATTGAATTTTCTAAGTAATGCTTACAATTGCCATTCATTTATAGATTTGCTTGTATATATTGTCATTTTTATTAACTGAATTATCTTATTTTGCTTTAATGATAAAGAAAAAGAATTCTTTTATTATGCTTAACTGATAATGGAGCAATGAGTGAATGGTGCCAATAATCCAGACTTGATACCATTAATATGAATAAATATCAAAATTTTAATTGAGTTAGAAACTTTCCTTTTGTCATCGGCATGGAAATCCTTCTACGATGAGTTGATGTAGTTTATGTAAGCGGGAAGGTTAATTAAGATAATTTTTACTGGATGTATATATTTTATTTTATTTCTTTATTTCGTTTTAATTATCTTGTATAATTTTTGCAATTATTTAAACTTGGTAAATGGTAATGTATATTTATTTATGTAACCGCTTTTTGAATTTTGTTTTATGTAATTTTGAATTCTTCATTCGATTCAGAATGATAATTGAGGATGAATGCTTAAAGCGTTTGAAAGTGTTTTTAAGATATTAAAAAATGATTTGCTGAATTGTTTAAAGATTTTGATTTTTATTTATAGTGTAGTTCCAGTAAGAAAGTATTTTATTTATTTTTTGTTTCTTACTATTATGAGCAGAACAGGTTTCTGTTTTCTCTCCCTCTTTCTGAATAAAAATGAAATTTTTCTTAAATTATTACCTGTTAGAATGTGGATAACCTTAATGGATAATTTTATAAAATCTAAGAAAAAACTGTAAAATTCAGAGTAGCTATTTATTTTTAATTCATATATGTATTGACATTAAAAAATGAAGGAAATAGTATAAAAACAGTTTTCTTAATGAAAATCATTGTCATTTAAGTACAGTACATTTGTGATGATTAACTATGAAATGCATTCAAGAATTATAATTTTTTTTTTTTTTCAGTTCTTTAGTTTTATTATTAAATTATAGAAAAATAAATTGTCCCTGTTGATAGAATTAACAGTTGTTTATTTAGTATAGTTAATGGAATACTTTTTTATTCAAATCATACTTTTAGTAGGATAAATCTGCATTTATATTTTTCAGTATTTTGTTGCTATTAACAACTAAACAAATTCTCTGAATTTTAAAAACTAAGCTTCATCATGAGTAAACTCATACTAAAGCTTAATTTTTAAATTCAGAGAATTTGTTTAGATGCTTGCCATTTAAAGTATTATATTTGCTTAATAGAGAGAAAATATAGAAAAGTCATGTTGATAATGAATTGGTAGAAAAACAAAGGATTGGTTTAAAATAGTTAATACAATTGTTTTCAGCTAAAGATTTTTAGACAAAATTTCTAAAGTTGATAAATAATTTCATAACAAAATTATAATAAATGTCTTATCTTTAAAAAGTTATCACCAGTAATTAAATACTAATAAGTAAATATATACACAAACAATTTTTTTTTTGTAAATTTTAAAAATATACACATTTTAAATTCCACATTTAAATTTTAGAATAATGTTAATAAATTATTATTACAGTCGACCCCCCTATAACACTGTTGATTATTCCATTTTATATGAATTCCATGTTGTACGAGTCACTTAGATTTTACAAATAAGTGTGCCGGGCTGTGAACGGCTCATGTATTTGTAAAATCTAAGTGACTCGTACAACATGGAATTCATATAAAACGGAATAATCAACAGTGTTGTAGGGTGGTCGACTGTAATTTTTCATATGTTTAAAAAAAATGCATTTAATGGTTTAAAAGAGAATAATTCAGCTTTATTTGGAATCATCTTAGTGTAAATTAATTCTTTTACATTTTGCAAAGCAATTCATAATAAGATTTTAAAAACTACCTGCAAAAAATATTTTTGTTCTTTTTTGGCAATTAGCCAATAATTGATGTATATGTTTTACTCTATTTTTAAATCTTGAAATTTTAATCAACTAGTCATTAGATTAAACTATGAATTTTATTTGCTCAGAACTGAAAGATAATATTTGTTCTATTTTGAGCAAATAAAATTCAAATTAAAAAAATTCTGTTTATTTTAAAATAGATTTTTAATTCTTTTTAAAGTTAAATTGCATTCTAAAAATGATAATAAATTATATAGCTTATTAATGAATTGAAAATAGAATTTAAATTAAAACAATTACATAAAGACATATATGAAAAATATCAGTTTGGAAAATGATGATAAATAATTTTTTTGAAAGTTTGTTTGCATATTTCAGTATAAAGTTTGTTTGCTTGCTTAAATTTCAAAAATATTTCTTAGAAAAGTTATAATATTTGTAATCTAATGTTAGCAATTTTCTGTTCAGAGATTTTTTTTATCACCGATGATTTGTTCTTCGTACTTTCATAATGTTGAATATAAAAAAAAAAATTCATATTTAATCACCACTTACCTATTTTATCATTTAGTTATTTTAATTTCTAATTATAAAGATTTGTATGATATAATGCTGTTACATTTGAAGCATGCAATGCCATAATGTAAATGCCTTTTTTCTCTAAATATGTTTTATTGAAGAACTGAATTCTAAACTCAATGCTTTGTGCTGCAAAAAATATTGGGACAATAGTGAGGTTGTAAGTGGCTGTATTTTTAAGTTGAATTTATGTGCAAGCCATAAGACATTGCATGCTTCATTTTTTATATGTTTCAATTTCTATTTGACATATTGGGTTGGGGAAAAAGAAATCTATTATTTTTACATTTATTTCAAGACTTTATTTAACATGGTTTGGATTGTCCAACTTGGGTCAAATATGCACCGTTTTGTTTTATAATTTGTTGCCATTTTAAAGGTAATTTCATAATGCTTCTCTCATAGAAGCCCTGGTGCCTATTGGTGAAAAACTCGACTAAGCGATTTTCACAATCTTCTCTTGATGCCAATTTCTTATCACGAAGGAAGCTTTGCAATGATAAAAAAAGATGGTAATTGCTTGGTGCCAGGTCTGGACTATAATTAAGGCTGTTATACATGGTAAGGAAATCCTTTTGAGGATTAACCGTGATTTTTTTTTCTATCTATCCATTTTTAAATAAAAATAATTCTTTATATGTTGGGAGATATTTTAATAAGTTTTGTAAATTACTATGTTCGATCCAGCCAGTTATATCCGAGTTTTTTTCGTCTGTTAAGCACATCCTTTGAGAATTTCCTTACAGTGTATACCAGCCTTAAGGTGGATGCATCAAAACTTTTCATCCAAGCTCCCTGAGTTTCTGGTGAGTCACTATAGATGTGTTTGGCCTTGCGTTTCCTGATGAAACACAACACCTCTCCTGTTGAGCAATTCTGGCTGCTTCTGATCAATCACTAGCTTCAAACGGTCCAATAGTTGACAGTAGAGGTACAAATTTAGTGTTTGGCCATATGGAAGCAGCTCATAGTAGATGATTC